TGAGAAGGAGGCAAAATTCAACCCTTAACGCTATGCAAACTTGACTTTTTTCCCAAATACTTTTCATCTCAGTGAATGGTGCCCGTGTCCACCATGTTACTCAGGAAGAAGCTTGTACATCATCCTTATCAAGTCACTTGCCCACGTATTAACTTAAGGTCCAGAGCTTGTAGACCTTGGAGGCAAAATTTTGGAATAGGAACTTCAGCATCCAACAGGTTTACCAAGGGGTCTGTGACTCCCAAATGGCTGACACCCTCAGTTTTGTATCTGTTTTTTCAAGTGCTTATACCACCTTGATACAAAAGTAATTCATACATAAGAAATTTAGAAAATTACAGAAAATCATAAAAATAAAATTAATAATTATGTAATTATTCAGTTACCCAGAGTCACTTAATATTTTAGTTATTTCTTTGTACATTTTATTCCTTCATGTTTTTTTACTAGTTGTATCAACTGTATGTAAGATTTTGAATCCAGTTTTTTAGTATATGTGCTGCTGAAGTGAGCACTGAATCCTGTTTTTTAAATTCAACATTGAATATAAGTGTGTTCCCATATCTTCACAGAATCTTGTTTTAAATGGTGCATATTATTCCATCAAATGGATAGACAGATACTGACTTAGATATTTCATTATTATCTCATTGTCAAACATGCAGGTTGTTGCTGTTTTTTGACTTTTATAAATAATACTACAAAAATCTTTGATATTAATTTGAATTCAAGTAAGTTTTTCAGAATTCAGATATGATTCAGCTGAGGGTGAAGAGAAAAGATGGACAGTGTCTCTAAGTAAATTATTAGTATAAATTGAAGGAAAGCTAAACCTACGTAAGTTAACAAATATATTAGGTATTAATTGTGAGTAGTTGGTTTATGACTTAAAAATTATTCTTAATTGAATTGCTAAGGTAGATCACAGTAGATTCTCCAGTCAACATTTTGTTCTTTTGTGTTCTTTATAACCGTGCTGTCCGATAGAACTTTTCAAGATGATGGAAATGTTCTTTATTTGATCTGTCCAATAGGGAAGCAGTTAGCCACATGTGACTACTGAACACTTGAAATATGGTTAGTCCAATGGAGGAACTGAATTTTTAATTTTATCTATTTTTAATGGATTTAAATTTAAATAGCTATTTGTGGTTGGTGGTTACCATGCTGGATAGTGCAGTTCTATCAAGATGATGACTAAACACTTTTATAGTGCTTATCTTTCCTAAATACTCTTTTAAGTGCTTTACGTATTAATGTATTTAACCCTCACAATGACTTTATGAAATAGTCTTTCAGTTACTATTGCCATATGAAAAATTACCACAAAGCTTACTGGCTTAAAACAATAATAGTCATTTATTTTGCTAAAGAATCTACAGTTTGGACAGGTTCATCAGAAATAGCTCATCTCTGCTCCACTTAGCACCAGCTGGGGCTGTAGGATGCACTTAGTTACGTAGTTAGCAAGTTGATGACTGTTACTGGTTTTTCTGTTTGGGGCAGCTTGGGCTTCCTCATAGCGTGGTGGCTGGGTTCCAAAAACAACCAACTGCTCCAAGAGACAGGAAGTGGAAGCTATCCGTTTCTTAAGGCCTCATACTTGGAAATGGACGAAACATCACTTCCAACATTTCCTACTGGTCAGGCAAAGCACACAATATATATTCAAAGGGTGGAGATACAGACCTCTCTTCTCCATGGGAGCAGTACCAAAGAATTTCAGACCATGTTTTAAAATCATCATAGAAAGGTACAATCATTGCAATTCCATTTTACAGATGAGACTGAGCACAGAGCAGTTAATAAAACTTGCTCAAAGTGACATGGGCAGTCAGTGGCCAAGCTATTACTTATGCCAGGCAGCCTGACATTTTAAAAGTGCTATATTGCGTCTCTCTGTCTTTCATGTGTTGCTAATTTAGGTACAGTCTTCTTCACTTTTGCCACGGTTCAGTAATTATGAAATTGACTGATACATGTTTGTAAATCACAAGCTATATATGTGTAGTATTTGCAAGGGTTTGCTAGATGTCAAATTAGTGATGAATGTGCATTCTCAACCACCTGATTCAGGAGGATCTGCATGGCTCCAGTTCTGAGCCCCTCTGCCATCATCGCTGATCCTACTGCCCCACAAAGAGAATTTATTACCACCTCCTGACTGAAACAGATCATGATTCTGCGTAAAGTTCTTTCAGTCTTAGCATGCTGCCTGCTGTGTCTATTCCTATTGCGTGGAGTATGTTTTTAGAAAAGAATTAATAAATGAAACACTTCGAATTGTAACAGGAGTTAAAGAGTTCTGGTTTTTACTGAAAGAAAGTCTTGAGGTTAAACCCTAATTTAGATGATATATTTGCATATGTTTTAGGAAGTGTGTGTGTGTGTACTCTTATTCATTCATTCATTCATTTATTAATTATATTGACTCTTGGAAGAGAAATTTAAAAAAAGTATAGGTTATCCCAAATTTTAAAGGTTACGTGATAAAATAATGGATGTAACCTTTTACCAACCTACACGGGGGAGGGTATGCTCAGTGGTTAGAGCGCCTGCCTAGCATGCATGAAGTCCTGGGTTCAATCCCCGGTACCTCCACCAAAAGAAGTAAATAAATAGATAGACCTAATTGCCTATGCCCCCTTAAAAAAAAGTAAAAATTAAAAAACTAAAAATTAAATTAAAAAAAACCTTTTACAAACCTAAGAAGCCAGCAATTTCCTTTCATGTTCAGAGATAAAGGATATTTTTCATGTGAAAGAGAGAGAGAGCCTTTTGTCCTGTGGCCTCTGTTTTGATATTGTTTGCTGCAGTGATAAAATGTGGTCATTTCGCACCTGGTGTTTGTCTCCATCTAATCATTACAACATACGTTCTTTTTTCACCTAAATACTCTTGCTAGAGTTTATAATGAAATGTATCTAGCTTTCCAGTTTCTTAAGCAGTATGTGTGAACCTCCCTGATGTAGAAAACTTCATTTCATCACTTCAGAATCTGAATATTCCAAATAAGGAGACTTCATTTCAGTCAAGCCCCACAGTTTTCTTTAGGCCTCGTCCTTTTAAATCTGGTGATTCCCTCCTCATTTTGTGTGTGTGAACATGTACTTTGTTGATTTTCCGCATAGTCGGCTCTTTCTCGTTATCCTAATTGGCTGTGTCCTGTAGTTTTACCAGCTGGGCTCACAGTTTCTCCCTCGCACTCCTTCATAGAGACGATTCAGTTCCCCCATATCCAGGGACCTCTCAGCGTCTGTGTGGCATCCCCATGGGCCCGGATATCTGGCTGCCTCTGGTATAAGTCCATGTGGAACTTTGGCTTGTCAAAAAGCAGACTTCTCCGTTTCTCCCGAAGATGCCCCCTTCCCAGTTGCCCTACTTCTGAAGTCATAAAATAGGTCCCCACTGTTACTGGTTCTTTTAGTGCCCTGTGTTTACCTTCCACGAGCATTTTCTCCCAGTCTCTCGTGTCTGCTCACGTGTTGACTTGTTCAGTACCTGTTTCCAATTCTACCCTACAAGCTCCGAGACAGCGTTGGTCATGCTATGTTGTTTACCACTCTACCCAGCTCCCAGCTGGTGCTTTTCACATAGCAGACGTGCCATAAACGTTAATTTGGGTCAACGTACAAATAAATGCACATGCTTCCATTTTTATGTTTATACCCTAGGCCAAAATCTTGATGCCATCCTGGCCTTTTCCCTCTGCATACACGAGAGCTGTCAATTTACTAAATCTTTCTGGGACATACACTCTGTGAGGAGAGGAATCTTCATCTGTTTTGCTCCATGGTATGTTACAAATGCCTAGGGTAGTGCCTGGCATGTAGTCGAGCATTTACTGTATTGTAGAAATGGTTCTAGATGTTTTACATTTATTAATTTATTTCATTTTTATAACAGCTCTAAAAGGGTGGGTAGGTACTGTTTAATAGTTTGCCTATTTCACAAGAAACTGAAGCACAGAGATTCAGTCATTGTCGATCATCACACAACTGCCAAGTGGTGAAGCTGGGGCTTGACCCCAAGTCTCCTGAGTCTGTGCTCTTAACCATTAAGTACCCTGCTTTAATAGCACCTAATGATGTATTTACTCTGTGTGGACCCTTCACTGAAACTCTGTACATCCACTCCATGCTTTGTAGGTGTTCATACAGATGAGAAGTAGAGGCTGGCTTGGAGCGGATTTTTAAAGAAGTTACCCAGGGTGAGACCCAGGTTATGAATAGCAGGGACAGGATGAGAACTTTAATTCAAAAAGATACATGCATCCCAATGTTTCTAGCAGTACTATTTACAATAGTCAAGACATGGAAGCAACCTAAATGTCCATCAACAGATGAATGGATAAAGAAGATGTGGTGTATATATATAATGGAATATTACGCAGTGATAGAAAAAGGATGAAATAATACCATTTGCAGCTACATGAATGGACTTAGAGATTATCATACTAAGTGAAATAAGTCAGAGGAAGACAAATATTGTATGATAGCACTTATATGTACAATCTAAAAAAAATGATACAAATGAACTTATTTATAAAACATAAAGAGACTCATAGACATAGAAAATAAACTTATGGTTACCAAAGAGGAAAGTGGGGAGGGATAAATTAGGACTTTGGGATTAACATATGTATACTACTATGTATAAAATAAACAAGGACCTACTGCATAGCACAGGGAACTATATTTAATATCTTGTAATAAAGTATAATGGAAAATAATCTGAAAAGAATATATTTGTATGTATAACTGAATCATTATGCTGTACACCAGAAATTAACACAACATTGTAAATCAACAATACTTTGATTGAAAAAAAAAAAAAGACTGTTTCAGCCCAAGCCTGTGTGCCTGTATAGACCTGCCATTCTCTGCATGGCCTGTGGTTTGGGGAGCAGACTTTGGATTTGATGGGAACATGTCCCAAGGTTGTCATATTTTCTTGTCCCCAATAGACATCTGATGCAGCTATGCATGTTCCTTCCTCAGGCAATGATGGCAGCCAGTCGCACTTCAGAACCGAGACGACACCCTCACCCACAAACAACACTGGGAACGGACACCCAGAGTACATCGCGTACGCGCTTGTCCCTGTGTTCTTCATCATGGGTCTCTTTGGTGTCCTCATCTGCCACCTGCTTAAGAAGAAAGGCTATCGTTGCACAACAGAAGCCGAGCAAGACGTGGAAGAAGAAAAGGTTGAAAAGATAGGTAAATAACGTGGATTCTTTTATGTGAATGTGGGCGCAGACGATTTTTAAATAAGAAACCAGTCATATGTATTTTTCATCTTAAGGCAAAATGATCCATCTTTATTTTATCAAAATATGTTTAACATATAACATTGTGTAAATTTAAGGTGTACAACATGTTAGTCTGAGACATTTATGTATCGTAATATGATTGCCACTGTAGTAATAATTAGCACCTCCATCACTTCTTTTTAGTGCTGGGAATCTAGTTTCTTAGCAAGTTTGATGATTATAATACAATATTACTGTCGGTATTCACAACACTGTGCATTAGATCTTTAGAGTTTATTTACTATTTGTTGTAAGTTTATACCCTTAAGCAACATCTGCCGTATCTCCCCATCCCTTGTGCCCCGGTAACCACCATTTTACTCTCTGTTTTTACAAGTTTGGCTTTTTTAGATTCTGCATATAAGTGATAACAGACGGTACTTGTCTTTTTCTGTCTGACTCGTTTCACTGAGTGTAATGTGCTCAAAGTCCATCCATGTTGTCAAAAATTGTAAGATGTCTTTTCTCATCGCTGAATAATATTCCACTATATATATGCACATAAATACACACATACACACACACCCCATGTTTTCTTTATCCATTCGTTCATTGATTGGCACTTAGGTTGTTTCTATATCTTGGCTATTATGAATAATTCTGCAATAAATGTGGAAGTGCATATATGTCTTTGAGACTGTTTTCATTTCCTTTGGGTATACACCCAGAAATGGAAATGCTGGATCATATGGTAGATCTATTTTTAATTTTTTGAGGAACCTCTATTGTTTTCCACAGTGGCTGCACCAATTTACATTCCCACCAACAGTGCAGAAGGGTTCCCTTTTCTCCACATTGTCGACAACACTTTTGCAAAATGGTCTGACTTAAAGGCAGATGGTGTAGTGCAGTGTCAACGTAGATTTCACAGTAACCACACCTAGAGGTAGAAACCTTGCTTTCATTTGTTAAATGACTACCAGCTCATTTACTCTTACCTGCCTCGTGACTTTGGGGCAAGTTACATATACTCTCAATTGCTGCTATGTATAATTTAACTTACATTTATTTTCAATTAATTTCACACCAACTTAATTAAAATTTTAATTTAACTTAAAAGAGGACAATAATCTCCACCTTGTGGGATTATGGTGAATTAGGCAGAAGCTGCACTTGGTGTTTGGGACATATGGCCACTCAGTAAATATTAATCCTTTCTACTGTTATCAAATGAGAGTCTAATGAGAATGATGGGAAAACTCAACATTCTCACCGTTTTTGTGGTGCTACTTGTGAGTTCTGTCTTCAGTCTACGAAGCTGGAGTTTGTGTTTATTAGGTAAATGGCTGTGTGAACAGTGCAGTAAAAGTTCGCCAAGAACTGGTGCCTTTGTCTTGACCTCAGAGTGTCTCCCCTTTTCCTCTTAACATGGAGTTGCAGCGTAGGATTTGGAAAACCCTGAGAGATGAAATCCTGTTTTCTTACAGACGTTCTTTCCAACCATCCTTTAAAGCCTTGGAGAGTAGATGACTCTCCTTGTCCCTTTCAGCCCCTCGAAGGGCAGTTTTTGCAGAAAGGTGACATTTGGAGTAGGTCACCCTCCAAGCCGACCCAAGGGCAGAGTGGGGGGAGCTTCCTCATTCCTTGCCAGCTTGCTGGCCTGTTGGTTTTTCCCACCCCCACTGACCTTTGAGGCAGAGAGAGAACATGGTTGCAGGATGAATCATGTGTAAGCTTATGGCCAAACCAAGGCTGAGTGTTTATCAACAGAAAGCAGAACGTCCCCCTCCTTTGTAGATGCTCTGTAGGTTGGCTTAGCGGTTAGCACGTGCGCTCTCCAACCAGAGGTACGTATTCATGGAGGAGGACGCCGCAATGGATGGAGAAGATACTGTTCCAGATACACGGATAGGACATCACACACCCTGTGTGTGAATAAGGTCAATCCTCCCTCTTCCCTCCTGCGTTATTGAAGAAGATTATACTGATCAGTTTCAGAGTGGAGGTTCGATTCTTTTTTTTCAAAGACTATCCTGTGTACAGAGTTCCCCAAGGTAAACTTGAGTGTGTAGGCAAAATACTACAGCCAAAATTTAGATCACTTGGAAGTGCATTTGAAAGAATAGGAGAGTCATAAACATACCAGTCTATGAGTATGGTTACAAACTTACGGTTACCAGTGGGGGCAGGTGGGAGGTAGGGATAAACTGGGAGTTTTGGGATTGGCTGATACAAACTACTGTGTACAGAATACATACAACAGAACATACATGCAGAAAATAACAAGGACCTACTGTATAACAGGGAACTATACTCAGTGGCTTGTAGTAACCTGGAATGAAAAAGAGTATGTATGTATGTATACATATAACAATCACTGTGCTGTACACCAGAAACTAATTCAACATTGTAAACAAACAAAAAAAACAGAAAACAAAACTAAAAGCCTTAAAAAATACATAAAATAGGAGAGTCTTGTAAACACAGATGAATAATTGCTCACTTTAAGAAATAAATTAATACTCTAAATTTATATGGTACATCTGTGATTAAAATCCAAGGAGAATTTTTTTCTTTTCATTTGCTTTCTTCTTTTCATTTCCCCTAAATATTTAACAAACTATTGAGAGAGAAATGATAGTAGTGAGGACTGATATAGATGCAAGGAATTGTTGTCCTGGAAACTGAGTGTGTATCTGGACTTGAGAAGAGATTGATGGATGACTCTGATACTTTTTATGCCTGCTATGCCAAGGAAGTCACTGTGTGCGCTGTGCGCATCAGGCAGCTTGGGCCTGAGGGAAGAAAGCATAGCTTTTGGCACTGTGAGTGACTGGTTGAGCTTTCTGGAGACTGTTCAGAGAGGTGTTGGGCTCAAAGACGGTGTCTCATTGATTTGAGGCAGGTGAACCAGTTGTAACCCGTCCTCCCCCCACTTTCTCTTTCAGAGTTGAACGACAGTGTAAATGAAAATAGTGACACCGTTGGCCAGATTGTCCACTACATCATGAAGAATGAAGGTATGGCTGTTTAAATGCCCAGAACAATTCTGTGTCCATACATTTTATTAAAAACCTGCCTCAAAGAGCCAGGATTTGTATGGACTCTCCTGTCGATAGTTTCTGAAGTTATTGGCAGCACCTTTTTCCTAAGCTTTCTTATAGCTCAGCCTCCAAATTAACTGACCAGGAGGATTTCACAGAAGTGAGTCTTCTAAGAGTCAGTCAGTCAGAGTTTTGCAGAGTCAGCCCTGGAGGTGATGGCTTACCTTTTAATCATGGCCTCACTTCGATCTGGGGAAAAGTCACATTACCTTGTGGAGCCTCAGTTTCCTCCTCTAAGATAATATTTACCTCCTAGCATTCTTGTGAGATCCTGCATATACAGTGCTTAGTATAATGAGCATTCAAGTATTATCCTTTTTTTGGTGC